TATTTGCATAGAAACTATTGCAATCATCATTGTACAGAAATTATTGCAACCATCATTGAACTTCAGGAATAGGCTGTTCATATAGCAAAAAGAAAAAAAGAAAAATTATAACACAAATATGAAGTGTGACAAACACGATCAATTCCAATTATGGACTAATCGGAAAGAACTACTTTCCTGATTTCCTACGACACTAGATCTTACATATTCAGATTTTCACTTATGGAAATTCGATCCACTCCGATATGAATTCTGCATTGACAAACAAATACTTATTTGTAGCTTCATGTTTCATATTTTTGTTACAGCTTCTTGGTGAAGTATTTATGGGCTTTTTGCTGCATGACATTTTATTCTTATCCTTAAATGTCCACGTTGGCAAACTTCGAAACACATTGTATCTCATGATAATGTAACATGTTTTATTAAATTTAACTATTTCCTTTTAATAAAATTAAATATTTTTTATTTACTTCTATATATAAATATTTGAACAGCCAAAGTCACGTATGCATGACGTCCACTGTAAAAGTGGGTTCAGAAAATTTTGATACAAAGGGATGAGAAATAACAATAAAGTTTTTATAAAGGGGGCAAACACGTTGCAACAACGTTCAATAAAGTAAAAAAAAAAAAAGTTTTTAAAAAGGGGGCAAAAACATTGAAAAAAAGTTAAATAAAAGAAAAAAAAAAAAAAAAAAAGGAAGAAAAAAGAAGACGTGGATATACGGTTTTACGTAATCGGTGGAAATTACCCGGCCAATTCATGTGAGCGCGATGAAATTGTTCCCAAGGTAACCGAGATGTGAACGTCACCGATGACGGAGGAGAAACCACTTACAACGGTGAGTAAATATCGTTTTCGTGGGCAGAACGACAATGGTTTTCCACGAAAACCAGCGCAACGCTGCGTGATAGTTGGATAATCGATAGTGACCTTCGTGGCCGCGAGAGAAAAGGTACGATCGAAGGAATCGTACCATTCCTAACGAGATGTCACACACACGAAAGAATAATATTTCGATTGCGGCCAATCAATTCGCGGAAAACGGGGATTAAATGAGTGACGACGACAATTTGGATGTTTGTACGTTGAAATCTAAATGATTTCAGTCGTGTTTAGATGTCAGAAAATGTAAGACGTACCCAAACGTAATTACATCGAAAGATTAATATTTTTGTTTCCATCGTGCTATAACTAAGATCAAATGTTTTTCCGCAAATTGAAACGGCAAATAGAAAGAATGAACATGTGTCTTCTTGACTTAGAAAAGACGGTTTAAAGTACGAAAATGATACTTGGCAATACATATAAAAGAACTTGGGAAATTTAATAATAAAAAAAGAAAATAATAAGAATAGCATTTTCAAACTGGCAGTGAAATGTTTTTCAACTTCGCTCGAATATATAAGATTTAATATAAGAAAAATGGATATTTTGGAACAAACACTTCTCTCTATCAGCACTCTACTGTACTTAAAATTAAAATTAAAGCGTTCATTATTTATATGAGTGTAGATAAGTATGAACGTGTTTTGTTTGTGATATGATCGTGGAACGATTTAATAAATCTTTCTTTATCATTCACCGTTTTATTTTCTTGCTTATCTCGAACAACTGCTTTGAATTATCTTAATTTGTATCTTAATTAAATGTATTGGAGTACCTACTAGTTATGTATGATATACTTTTTACAAATCCTGTTCATGAAACGTTATTTCACGGATAAATCCTGAAATTCGAATCGGACAAAGTTATAGCAGAAATCAAACGACCCTCGATAATCTGAATAACTGAGTAAATTTAGAATCTGAGGATTTTAATTTGAAAGTTTTAATTTAAAAATTTCTGTTTGATATATTTTACTTTTCTGCTTCTTTTACAATGTTTTTTTTTTAATGCCAATGTAATAATACAGCGAATAAATAAATTTTGAATGAAACTATATACAGTAGTAATAGTCTGGAATAGAACTATGGCTTGGTTCAATAATTCTATAATCCAAAAGTTGTTCTAAGTTTCGGCAAAATTATAGAATTCGTACTGTGTTTCATTGACTTTTCGTCGTTCAATTGGTAACCCCCAGGTCAGAGTTATCGGAGAACGTTCGTGTCGGTTTCGCAAGCGAAAATAAAAAACGATAAATTCAAGCGATGGATTCAAGGCGTTGTTTAATTATATGCCAAGTACTTGACCCAATTTGATATCCACAGCTATTCCCCCCCCCCTCCCTTTCGTGCCTCTGAGAAATTTTATTCCAGAGAAACAATATCGAGAGAGGTTCTCCATCATCGACAATTCCATTCTTTCACCCGCGATTCATCGCGCGACGACAGCGTGCACCGGCGACGAAAGAATTGGTATTCCTTGCGCTTTCAACGTCTTGCATCGACTTCCAACAACAATGCATAAAATAGAATTCCCCTCTATTCAAGGTGTCTCAAGCAACGTGCGATAATAATGGCACGTCCGACAGACACGAGAATCAACTTCGCGTTGCCACGAACGACGTAAACTTCGCATTTTCTACTACGTACGAACGAGTTCGTTAACGAGTGGAAACACTCAGTCAGACTTACTCCGTCGAAAGCGTAATCCAACCCGAAACAGAAATCCAAGCAACAGAGATCTTAGAGAGCCACGCGAGGGGGCATAAAATTTGCATAGGCCGCATCGAGCACGAACCGCGAGATTCGACGATGAGAATCGAAACGAATTCGAAAACCGCGAGCCAGTTTCGCTTGATCGATAGATAGCCGCGGCTCTTATGCAAATGCATACCACGGTTTGTATCTACAGTTCACCGCGCCGCCAAGTACCATATGGAAGCTCTGGCGTTTCGTTCCGAAAGGGGGAAGAAAAAAAAAAAAAAATAGAAAAAAGAAAAGAAAAGAAAGTTTAATTCCCTCCGTGACATATTGTGACTAACGCGCGGACTCTGTGGCTCTCATTACGCAGCCATCGTATTCCCGTGGGTGACCTCGCGTACGCACGCAGCGATATGCACCCTACGGAGCAGTTTTCGACGATAGAAGGAGCGCAAGAGTTTCGATAGGAAAGGAGTGGAGGGTGCTCTTTAGTGTTCAGACGCGTGGCGGATCTCGTTTCGCCTAAGTGGCAGCGACGCTCCTCTTTCAGCACACGCCACCCCGGTATGCATCGACTCGGCGACGAATGGATGTCGATGAGGATTCGGCTGAGCCGTGGAGCAAATATCTTCCAGGCCAGCGGAAGCCTGTTTCCAATCGCCGTCTATGCTTGCCGAAGCTTTCTCTCGTTTCTCGCGCTTCGCGCCAATATAGCTGGTACAACGACGTATAATTTGATCGTTAACGATGAATCGCTTGGTGTCTGTCTTAAATTAACTCGTTACCGCGATGAACTTCAAGCTGGAACTGCTGCCGACGCTCGGAATAAACACTAATTATCGCGTTATCATTAATTGGCCGTCCTGGTTATCGAGTTGCTTTTGGAAACACCGAAACTGCTTCTCATTCCGACAAAATGCTTCCAACGATCGTAGAATCGAGAGTGTACGAGAGGCTCGAAGGATGTAATCAAATAGAATTATTTGAGTCGAGCTTCGATTGTCTTGAATCTATTTAAAAAGTAATTACTGCGTTACAATATATTTCAATTTATTGCAATTTACTAAAGCGCGAGATGCGAGAAACAATGCTGGTGCAACGTGAAAGAGTAATTTCTTGCTAAACCAGTATTTCATTTCCGAGTAATTTCCCCACTAACTGACACAGCAAATAAAAATGATGAGGACATTCGAGACGCTTGAAGGAGGAGTTTGATTAAAGTGTAAAGGAGGACGTGGCTCCATGAAATTTCTTAAGATGGAAAAAAATTTTGAAAAGGTAGCATTTATTAAAATAAATTGATTTCTCAATCTTCGTTTGAAAGTAATCCGCTGTAATTATTTGAACAAACTGCTTTCCTACTGATGAATGGAAGTTATACTTTTGAAGAAAAATACGATTATCAATTCACAAGATATTATGCCATTTACACCAGAAGTTAAATAATTTCTTTCTGCAAATAAATCGTTCCATTTTTTGGTTTTCGATTTATAAATGATTTAATATTTCTTTCATTGTAGATATCTAAGAGTGAAGAATATTAATTTAAAAAAAATTCCAGAATAAAAACAGAGATAACGGAGATAGCAAGTCCACACATTGTTCGTAAGAACTGCTTTATACTGAGAATACTTCCTGAGATATCGATATATTGACATTTCTGAACTGAACGCAATTCTACTTTACGTTATTTTAAAGAACATTATTTTAAAACTTTGCTACGGATTAAATTTCTACCCCGCTGGGATTAAAATTAAAAGTTAAATATAACAAGCCAAATTACACGATCCATTTCAAGGAAACTTTTTAGTGAGTATATATTAATCAAGATAGCAAACTTTGATTGAATAGAATTTAATATCTATACTTCTAGAGATATTTTACACTTCCTCTGGGACGTACATGATGTATATATCACACTGAAAAAAGTTTAAAATTGTTCAAGACAAGTTACATACATAAATAACTTCCACGTTACTCTATCACCGTTGAAACGAAATGATTAAAAATCCAATATGATACTTTACATCTCCACTGAGAGGTATATAAGCCTACAATTAGATTCGAGCAATTAAATATTGCTCATAGTTGCAAACAGAAGGCAAATTACGTATTTAGATTGATTTGAACCACATTTATTTTACTTTTAAAAGTAAAATAAAAAATAATAATATTAACGCTAGAATTATCGAGAAACAAAGTATAAAATTACATTAAACTAAAACTTCACGATAAAACATTTTACTTTTTACAAAAGATCATTTTAAATCTCATCTATAAAATTTCTAATTGCCAGAAGAATTATAAATTGGTCATTCTGACCGCTTTGATAGTTTCAGTGTTAAATAACTTCTACTTGTTTAATTGAAACGAAATTATTAAAGAAGTTGAATTGAATCTCAACGACTCACCTGCCAGCCTTGAAGCAGCAGGCTTCTGTCGACAGTCCTCAGCCACATGACAGCGTCGCCAGCCTGGAAGTCTCTTAAACGGGTGCATTTCCTGTGTAGGAAGACGCCGAGGCATTTGAGCAATTCCGAAGTCGAGGCCTGGATCACGGTTTTCCTTGGCTTCGGGGGTAACGGCTTCTGTACGAGCTTCTCGCACGTCGGGTTGTGCGTGGTGTGATTGTTGTTCGACGCCGGTGGTTTCGTCTGCTCCGGCGTAATAGAGGATTAATCTCCGTGAGAATGATACTCGCGGCAGAGGATTTGTCTTTCAGAGAGAAAGAGGAAGAAAGAGACAGAGAGCAGAAAAAGAAAAAAAAAAAAAAAAAGGGAAAAAGATTTCGCGGCGTGTCTAGCGAACGATAAATAATTCCACGTCGCTTCCATTTTCAAGCGGAATTTCTGACGAGTTTATGTAACGCGGGCTGAACTTTCGAATAATTGACGCTTCACTTGCAAGAATATTTCGTCAAAGGAAATAAGAGAGAAGGGCATACACGCGCGTGAAATACGCGAAGGGGAAACATCGACGCGGGCTTTCGATCGTATCTGAGGTCAAAGCACCTTCGGCATTCTTTGCACGAAACTTCCGAGCCGATTCGAGGCTTGTTCGCTTGGACGCTTCCGCGTAAATGGGCCACCGTTGCCGCGATCGTCACGTGAACGATCGTGTCGCAAATTACACGGAATAATTATAGAACGATCGTCTGACATTTGTGAAATTGACAATCCGAAATGTAACATCGATTTTCGATACCTTTCGATACCTTGCCGCGCGTTCAACAACGACAATCGCAGAATCGGAGTTATTAAAGAAGAATTCCAAAGTCTCAAGGATTCTCAAGAGGTTTGAGAGTAAAAGAACGAAGATCGTGGCTCACCTGAGGCGTCTGTATGTTCTTGTTCTTATCAACGATGGGTATATTATCGAGCGGCTGCCTGAAGCCGATATTCTTGTTCTTATTGTCGAGCTTCTTCTTGTTGTTGTTCGACGTGCTGAACCGCTTCCACGAGAGCGCGTTTATGAACAACGAGTGTTTCTTCAGGTTCTTCTCGAGCGCGTTCTTCTCCGATATGATTCTCGCGTTGTCGTTGTTGTTCAGATTGATGTTGTTGTTTTGCAACGAGTTATTGTTCGTAGGCGGATGATTCGTGGGCGGCGCCGGCGCCACCGTAGCGACGCCGCTCTTGTTCTCCCGATTCTTTGCATTGTTCAACTGCTCGTAATTGAAATTGTTCAACGTGAAGTCAGCGGGATGTTGGTGTCCCGCTGGCGGATACACGGAACCGCGTCTGTCACGCGGACTGAACGACAACACCGTACCCATGCTGCTGGGTCGGTTCTCTTGTTGCAGTTGTTGTTGTTGTTGTTGTTGTTGCTGCTGCTGCTGAGATGGTGCCTGTGGCTGTTGTTGCGTCTGCGTCGCTTGATGAGTGGGATTCTGACTCTGTCGACTTACGTTTTGAGTCGGGTGGCCAGGATTTTGCGTCTGTTGACCAGGATTTGTCGACTGGTGGCCTGGATTTTGACTATGGTGACCTGGGTTTTGACTCTGTTGACCAGGATTTGTCGACTGATGTCCCGGATTCTGACTGTGGTGGCCTGGGTTTTGACTCTGGTGGCCTGGGTTCTGGCCTTGATGGGGATTCGAAGTCTGGTGACCCGGGTTCTGACTTTGCTGTTCTGTCTTCTGATTCGGTTGAGCAGGGTTCTGATGGTGGGTTGGGTTCTGGGCCGACTGACCAGGATTTTGCGACTGTTGTTCCGGATTCGGCGTCTGTTGTCCAGGATTTTGCGTCTGACGGCCTGGATTTTGAGAGTCGGAGTCCAACTCCTGGGTCTGATGACCCGGATCCTGTGTTTGCTGAGACGTAGTGGGCGGAGGTCTCGGTGGTCTCAGTGTGGTAACACGATGTGGGGGCGGCGGGGGGGCTCGAGGAATCGAGGACTCCCTCGAGGGTCCCGTCAACGGGGTGGCATCCCCTGGCTCGATGGCCTCCTCCACGACGGGACCCACCACCTCGCTCAGCCGACCTCCCAGCCTGCTGACTTCTACCTGCGACCTGAACGACCCTGTCTCCCTCCTTTACCTGCTCTTCCTTTCAATCCTCTCGCCTCTGTTTTCCTCTCCTTCTCCTTCTTCCCGTCGTCTGTCTCGTTAACGCGATCGCGTAACTTCACCCACCGCGAGGAAACCTCGAGCAACGTTCTAACGGGTAACCGCGATCGATAAACCAACAAGTTCGCGAAAAAAAAAAAAAAATATACCGTCGCAGTCGGCGCACACTCTTTCCTCGGTCGAATAGTTGGTCGGCTGGTACGCGAGAACTTCCCTCCGAGCGAGCTGGCTGTCACGAGGGAAAATGTCGTCGATGCGTGGAGAAGATGTCGGTCGACGTGCAAAATGGCGAGCGATCGATGTCTCGCCGCCCTCCGCCTTTCGGAGGGAGGATCAATCAGGTGAATGAAAACACAGAAGCGACACACCGAATTACCCCTCACCAGATATTACTGTACTCTCGTTCTTCCTTCCTCTGATTCGAAGGGACGTGCATACACTCTCCCCCCCCCTTTTTCCTTTTGTTTCTGGCAAACTCTCTACCCTCTCAACTTCCGTTCTTGCGGTGCCGTTCACCAGCACACTCGACGCACTGTCGCCGCACACTCGGTTACCACTTTTCAACGGTTTCTTCCACGCGGTCCTCCTGGATCCTCCGACTTCCGATTAGATTGGCACGAACTTCCCTTGCCGATGGATCGATATCAGCCAACAACAAACCATCCACGAGAACGTTCACTCTTCGTCAATCCTCGAATCATTCGAGCGTTTCTTTGTTTATGCCTCTCTCCGAGCGACCAGAGGGAATTAATCCACCGACTCTTTGCTTCCTTTGTTTCCTTCTCTTCTTCCAAAGAGTTTCCTCGAGTTCGTACTCGATACGGAACGTTCAACGACGCAGTACACGCTTCTCGAAATCGAGCGTCGAACACTTTGACCTGTACACGCTCGCGACACGAGCTGTCACTGTTGACAACGCGCGAGGGCCTGCGTGTGTATGTTGACAGAGCCTAGTCAGTGAAACAGTGGCGCGGCGAGCTCCGATTCGTGTCTGCTGGCTGCCGTGTTCGCCGACGTCGCCGTCACCGTCACCGTCCTCGTCCTCGTCCTCGTCCTCGTCGTCGGTCCTCTCGTTCGTTCGTTCGTTCGTCCACCGCCAGACTTTCTACGACCAACCAACACGTAGCACGCCCCATCCCCCGTTATCGGTGCGCGCGCAGTCGTTCGATAAACGCGCTACGTCGATTTCACGGGGGTGGAAGGACAGAGACGGCGGCAACGGCGTCGAACGGCAACCGGAGAAGGAAGGAGAGAACACACGGGAGCATCGAGGCATCTCCGTGCAGAAGGGTGAAGAACGGACCGCGAAGGTGAAACGAAGAGAGGCCAGCCACGCCGCATACGCCCAAACTTTTCTTCTTTCGTTTCTTGTCGACGCCGCGACGCCCGCTTCCTCCACCGCTCACTTGCACAATTTACGAATCAGCCGAACCAACCCTCCCGGACCGCCCTGATTCCGCGGCCCTTACGCGAATGTTTGGCCGGAAACGACCTGAACGTAGGTCGAGATTCTACCTCGCGGAGGAACAGCCATGTCCGCCGAGTGGGGGATTCTCGCTATGCGGTTTTCCACTGGGTAAACAATTTTATACCTCTTTGTCCCATCTCTTCTTCCTTCACGGCGGTTTTTCCAGGTGGCGCGTCGACGTTTCATAGAACTGGGTTAGATCTATCGTTTGATGATCGAAACGAAAGGGGGGCTTTTGTTTCGAGCGAATCGGGCATACAGGGTACATACGAGCGAACGTTCCTTGAAGTTTCTTGCGAGATTCGCGAAGGAGAGTTTGAGGGGTGAATTATGATGAATACGTCAGTATAACAGAGTCTATCAGCTCGCAAGAAGGTTACGGATAGACAACAGAATGCAAGTAATATCAAAAGATTAAGGAAATTGAAAGATTAAAGATTCTCTTTGTCTAATGTAATGATCGATCCACTTTTCATGTGTTTTATTAAAGCTTGCATGCCTCGTTCATAATGCTCGATTTAAGAATGAGAGACGTCTAGAATTTTCCAGAATTCCGATACGTAACGTGCCAGTTATTCATCAAAATAAATACTCTTCGACGCTGAGTATCGGTTCTTGAATTTGCATAGGACCTGATATATCTGTTAGAACACCATAGAAAGATAAAACCTTTACTGTCATCGTTGCTGAATATAGATTATTATATCTTATCTCTTTTTTTTTTTTTGTTAAAACTACGTAGATTGATCAAGGCCTTTGGAAAAGGTCGTGACACTTTTTAGTTATCGTGACATTTTATTTATGTTTACATGTTATATCTGTCTGATATATCTTTACTATCCTATTTTATCCTATCTGATGTATACAGAGTGTCCCATTTTAATCTTCCTCTTCTATCTACAAAACATAGCTGTAAAAAAAAATATTTCGAGAGAGATATTGCTCTGTCGTTTGTTCGACCTTGTAGTAACGTTGAAAAAAATCTGCAAAGGTCAGTATTAAATTTTTAAATTTAAATTTGCATCTTTCGCCATACATTATTATAGCAACATCGAGATATTTTTAAAACACCATACCTACGTGTATTTTTTGCATAAATTGTTTCCGAGATATAAATTCTTGATCGCTTACTTCGACGAGTGTCTTATGTCTGAATATCACTGTACGTTTCTACTTGCTTCAAGCAAGTAGTCATATTCGTAATTTCCTTTAGAAGATAATCGAATATGATTCTAATATTTAAAAATCATCGAAGTAAACGAATTAAATGTGTAAAACAAATGGTAACGTCTTGCAATTTGTACGACTAATCGAAATAAAGCAAGCGTTCACAAACAACAGGGGAGTGACATGAATATCGTGTTTCAACCACTCACCCTTGCCTCCTCGCACTAATACTGGCGGCACATCAACTTTAAGAGTTTATATCTCGAGGAACAATTGATGTAAAAACGTGTTTTAAAAATGTCTCGATGTAAGCTATGATAGTACATTGTCAAAAGTGTAGATTTAAAAATTTAACTTTGCAGACTTTTCGATTATCGCACAGTCAAATATAAATGACAGTTTCTCTCGATAAAATTTTTTGTGCGAAAATTTTTTTCGTACATTTTGCACGTTTTGAGATATTAATGGAACACCTTGTATATACAAAAAGGAAAGAATAACAAACATTTGTTTCCCAATGTGTGTATAATGTTCGTATTTTCTCGTAAATTAAAGTTTTAATTCGCAATGCGATATGGTGTTATGAAAAGAGCATTGAATAAATAAGTAATAAATTTATTAAAATTGACATTTCCCTTTTTTTTATTTAATCTTTATTTTTCGTTTAAGAATTCGGTTTCAAAAAAAGCAAATTTAAAACTTGAATTTATAATAACTAATTCTAAAGTAGACGAATAATCGACAGAAGATTATTTCATGCCATATTTTGTTAAGAATTACAGACTTTGAACATATTTAGTTACGAATTATTTTAGCACACGTATGAATTTTCAAGTTGAAACGAAGCACCTTACGAAAAAATTTTGTTCGACATTTTTCACTTTTTTTTTTCACTCGTACCAATTATTCTCTCTTGTCCAATCCAGATTTATTGAATTTAAGTGTATTTGAAAAATTTTCAAATTCGATCAGATTATTTAAACCACGTAATCCTTGTGCACAGAGAGCATAATATATATATTGCAAATGCTTCAAATAATAAATTCAATATCAAATATAACTTTATTATTTCATTTATCCTGTTTTTTTTTTTTTTTTATAAAATACAATATTTCTGCTATCGAGTAAAAAATATTTAATCACATTCGTTTTTAATTAGCGTTATTATTTTTATCAATACGTAGTAATAACGTTACTCATTAAACAGTTGAATTATCCAAAGATAAATGGAAAAATGTTATTCTTTCCTTTCAACGTATTTTTCTGCGTAGAATAATCTTTTGGCTGGTTGTACCATGATTATATATATGCACACAAGTACTCGTACATCGCTGAATTGCGGATCTTCATGAAATTTCATATTTTTATGATTATAATTAAACAGATATTTGTCTCCTGTATTAAATATTACAACCATACTCTTTACGATATTTTACGTATTCCTGCATATTCTCTGCACTCTTGAATCTTGTAATTTCTCAAAAATACTCATAACTTCATGTGATAATGATAATGTCAATGGTGACTGCGTAGACTGCGACTCTTCATACGTTTATGAAAAATTTAGAAATATGAAAATCTGCAGAATGGAAGATACATGAAATATATCTGATGTAGTAGTGGAAAGAATCTCCTGCTACAACTACGTTTCTTTAATTATGCCCGTAAAAATTCGAAATTGCATAAAAGTTCGCGATCTAATAACGCCGTGAATTTCTCAATTTAACTCCAAGATTATTAAGTTTGTTTTTTTCTGGTTATCAAATACTTTCTACGAATCACGAAAAAAAAACATGGAATTTACATTTGGCGAGATACCTAAGTATTATACATGTATATTATTTCCTGCGTAGTTGACAATTCACGTCCATTTGATAATTCCGTGAACGTTCCAGATTTAGTTAGCTTTGAAATAGGGGAACTTCACTGTTCCAAGAATTGTATACACGAGCACAATATCAGTATTATTCCGTGCTCGAAAACTTGACTACTCAAAAGATAGATACAAACGAGATACAGCGCTTCTTTATCGTTATCTAACGTTCATCGTCGCTTTCGAGACGCGACTAGAACGTTTATCTCGATACATTCAGTGTACGAACATGTATTTCTTTTCTTCATTCTACTACCATTGTTTGGCCTACTAAGCAAATTTCATACAAGCTGATCGAATATCTTCATCGAACAGCTGCTTTATGCCTTTGCAAAGTTAGTATTAAATATGTTGCGAAATTTTTCTCTGCTGGAAATTGCTTCCATTCGCCGAAATTCGCTTCGTTTCTTACTAATTGCGTGGCTCTGATTAACGCTACTTAATTTACACGTTTCAAGAGCGGACGGAGGAGTTTCGAGTAATCACGATACTGTCAGGAAGATTAATAGTAAAACTGTCAAGGATTAAAACAGATCAGAGTGAAAGACATACTTTGAAAATTATATAATTTAAGGTAAGGAATGAATATTTGTACGCTTAGAATACGCAGAGAATAGATCAAATTATTAAAAATATATTCGTCGTGAATTTGTGAAACGTTTGCATGGAGAAACACACACTTTGAAGACTACGGAAAATGATTTTGGAAACAGTAATTACAAAAAATAATTCAAACTTTGAAAAAGTAATTTAAAAGGAAACAAGAGAATTCTTAAAATAATTCTGTACGTCTCGTAGATTCAGCATTTATGGAAAGTAATTCAATTTTCCAAAACCAAACCTGCATTTCCACATGGAAAAATAAATAATTTAAGGAAAAACATGAAATAGAATTATTTACAGAAAATAGTCCTCTACATAGATACAGGCTTCACAAAAAATAATTCAAATTTCCAGAAATAAAACCGGTAGTGAATCTGTGATAAATAATATATTAAAATAAGAATTTACAGAAGATAATTCTGTATACAGAGATGCTACAGGAAATAATTCAAATTTCCAAAAATACACCTGTTATGTATGAAATTTCTAAACGAAGAGAAAAACGATTTAAGAGAAGAAAAAATAAATGCACATACATATATAATATTTCACTAAAAGTAATTCTGATTTTTCTAAAATTACGAAATAGTGAAATTTCTATAAAAAGAAAATTACGAACTGGTCGTTTTCATCCACATAATTCGCCGCGATGAATTAGCAAAATTTCCCATGAACGGAAATTTCATGAAAATTTCCACGTTCAAGTTCCAGTTGCTATAATTTCTCGGTGGAAAAGGGCGTAGCTTAGGCGAACGTTGCGTTCGTGAGACTATATCGCGAAAACACGGTTGCAGGTGTAATTGGTACGTAGAAGACTGTGGATTAAGTTGATGAAGCGAGCGTTAGGAAAAAAAGAAAAAAAAAAAAGAAAGAAAAGAAAGAAAAGAAAAGAACGATAAGAAACAATCGGGGACAGTTTCATCGATTAACGACGCGCTAATTAAACGTTTCACTTAACAACCAGGTGAATCGAGCCCCAACGACACGAGAGAAGGATCCAGAATCACGTTCTACGCGGTGTTCGACGCGAGAACGGAGAGACAAACGTCGCGACAGCGAGAAGAAACGGCGAGAATCGTTTGCGGAACTCGGCTGATAAACTGCATATCGCGTTCTTGACCGGTCGTCGAGGAAACGGTGGATAAAGAGGCGCTTATTAAAAGATGAATCTACCGAGAGCAAACCGTATTGATCTTAACGGTGGACTTAAACGTTCCCTCACTCGGAGAGGTTATTCTGGTCCCGCTCTCGGAATCAGTTTCTCTTTCCAGCGCGAATACATGATTAATCGTGCTCGATTACTTCGTTCATCAATTTCCGGTCGGTCTCGCGTCGAAATGGGGAGGGAAACGGAGCAGCTGCGAGTGTTCTTCGAGTTCCACTTTCCGTCGTAAGCGGAAACTACCTACGTACTGCCACGGGGGGGTGAGAGAAAACTGTTACAAGGTTCCTCGCCGTTGGAGACACCGCGAGAGAAACTTCAGAGAGTTACCCTCTTCGGGCGATTCTGTGTGCAAGCCGGCACAGAACGAGTGACCGGGTCGAGGCGTTAAAGATGCACGCGCGTCTTCGAGCGAATAGTTTCGCGGTGCAGGCTCGTCCCGTTAATTCACCGTTCATCATTCAAGCGTCCAGGAAGTTCTGCAGCGCGTGTTAAAGCGAGCTGGTCGTTCCACATATTAAACACCGTTCCGCGGCGACTGTTCGCCGGCTCGGGAGCGAAACAGGAAGGAAACGTCGACTTTTACGAAAACTGCGTTTACGTACGACAGACTTACTCGACTCGTGTAATTAAAAAGTCAAAAAAAGAAAACACCTCGTCACGCAATAGCGTAAAGTGATTTTACATATCGTGCCAATTAAAAAAAAAATAATTGTTCGAAAAGTGAATAAAAAAGAAAAGAAAATTTTGTTATTGCATGGAGAAGCATAATTTAGTTATTAGAATTTTTCTAATCGATCGAAGATCGTTGTCTAACGTGAAACTCGTGATTCTCGCGAAGGTCGAAAGGCTTCTGGAAGCAGTATAATTGAAAAA